TACACCTTTTGGAGCCTCAGGGAAGCCCTCGGAGCAAATAGGCGGACCACCGACCTTCAAGTCGCGTTGGTGCGTCCGCGGCGATCAAGACCCAGATGCCTGTGATCTCCAAGCATATTCGCCGACAGTGTGCACCCAAAACTTGCAGGTGATTCTCCAGCTGGCTGCCAGTCAAATCCGCGTTTTGCAAAGTAACCCGCTGCAGAGACCCGCTGGCAAGCTTTACGCCAGACAGCCTAAAGGCGGGCTGCCGGGGATGGTCCCAGGGCAGTTGATAGAACTGGTGGCTGGAGTTTACGGACTGATAGATGGTCCGGCACATTGGCAAGGCACTTTCAAGGACTACCTCACGAGCAGCCTGCAGTACCGCCAATCCCGTTTGGATCCGACTGTGTTCTCCCTGTTTTACGACGACAAGCTTGAGGGCCTGATCATCGTTGAGATTGACATTTTGTCGTTCGGCTATGCAGAGCATGACCGCCGCTTGGGCATGCTGAGAGAGAGGTTCAAGTTCGGGAAGTTTAAGTACCTCCAGGAGCTCGACGAAGGCACCACCTTTAACGGCAGGCGGATTAGGCAAGCTCCAGACTGCACTATCTCCGTGGATATGGGCAAGTACGTGGAGGAGCGCATGGCTCCGATCTCGATAGACCGGGGAAGGCGAAGCCATCCGGACAGCCCGGTCACGGAGGAAGAGAAGCAGAAGGCCCGAGGAGCGATCGGTTCGATCGCTTGGGCAGCGAAAGAGGGGAGGCCTGACTTGGCAGCCCCAGCCAGTATCTTGGCCGCCCGCATGAAGAACATGAAGGTCAAGGACATGGTGGAGATCAAAATGCCAAGGCGAAGCGAGACCTAACCCTGAGGTATTTTCCAGTACCGCCCGAAAGACTTGGATGGGGCACGGTGACGGATGCGTCATGGGCCAACCACGAAGACGGAACTTCTCAAGGAGCAATTGCCATCGTGGCCTTCGACAAAAGTCTCCTGGACGGCGAGGTGGCGGCTTGCTCTATCGTTTAGTGGAAGTCTGGAAAGCTGAGGAGAAAAGTCACTTCGACCCTTGCAGCTGAAGCTCAAGCACTGAACAAGGGGTTAGGCGATTTGTTCTGGGCACGCGCTATCTATGCCGAGCTCTTGGACCCCAAGTTCGACTTAGCCGAGTTCAGGCAGAGCCTGAAATCGCAGGCGGAACTGGTTTTGCAGAAGGTGGATGCCGACAAGACACTACGTGAGTCCCTGTCCGTGGTGGACGCAAAATCGCTGTACGATAACTTGATGAAGGACGGGAACCAACCTCAGGACAAGTTCACCGCCTTGGACGTCGCCATAGCCCGTGAGAGGATTGGCGGCCTGGGGGTTCAAGTCAGGTGGGTAGAGCACCAAAGCATGATTGTGGACGCCTTAACCAAATTGGGGGCGAACCCTGACGCACTCTTCGACGTCATCGAGAAGGGCACCTTCTGACTTGTTGCTGAAGAAGATAGGCTCCAAGAACGGCTGCAGCGCCGTGAAGTTGGGCAAGTCAAGAGGAGGTAGCCCGACCAAAGAGTCAACATTATTTTTAGGGTGCTGTGAATGCCCCTGTAGTTCCACCTTGACTCTTTGCTGGTGGCCTTTCGGCTCTGTGCATCAGGGGCCCCTTGAGACCTGTAGCTACCCTTAAACAAGCCATAGCAGAGAAGCAAAAGGGCGTGAGACATTGCGTGTCAGTGCGGTAGCCACGTTGTCACCTGCTTCCAGAGTCGTTGGGTTCCGACACACTTGACCTATAGTCTCAACTCCTAGCATCCCCTCAATAACCTCTATAATGCTCCCCTTTGAAATCCCATATGTACGTATATATATATATGGTACCCCCCCAGGAACCCACGTCTAGTATTAATGTCATGGCCAGCACAATGGAAACTCCAATTTTCGAGATAACAGGAATTCTACGGTTTTTGGGAGGTGTTGTTAGGACTGATTCTCAAAAGGTCTCATCTCGCTGAAGGTCTTTGTGCCACGAGGCCTTGCGTCTTTTCATCGCCGAAATCGCCGAAGGCTCGGACTCGGAGCTGAAGTCCAACTTCTCCGAGATCGCTTCGAGCACGAGGCGGCCTAGATTCTCGAGCTCCCGCGGGGTCCGAGCCTCCCCCAAAGCCGTGCCATGAAAGCGCTGCAAGGCTGGCTTGACTGGTCTCTTCACACTCCGAGAACGACTCATTCCGAGCCAGTGTCATGGAAGCGAAGCAACAGCTCACGAGGAACGCGGTCATGAAGAACTTATAGCCAGGATGATGACGAAGATCACGATCCCATGCCATGGTGTGCGACGAAGGTCCAGAATCCTAAACAGTCAGAGTCATGAGTGAAGAGATTGGAGCCAAATTGGACTTCGCTGAGACAATTTGCGCGCTCAGAACTCTACGGCTAAGATGGCAACAAGTTGAGACTCCGCAATTGCGAACTGCACCTAGGCTCCCATCCCTCAGCGTCGGCTGTTCTTCCTCGTCGTTAGTTGGTTTGTCAGGTTCTCACCTACTCATGGACTCAAAATATCTCAAAATGAAAGCTGTGTAAGTCCCAGCTGCAAAGGCCTCCTCGCTGTTACATTTGGCAAAATGAGCCGACAGGAACCTAAATGGGATATAATGGGATGTTGTACCCTTCGAGCAGCTGTGTTTTGCATCTTGCAGCGTTTCGCAACCAAATGCAGCCCATCGCTGTCCCTTTTCAAGGGCAGATGGCGCGGCATGCAAGCAGCGGGTAGACATCATTGCGCTAAGAACGAATAGCCATTGTTACTGTGACTAGGTATCTGACCACGCGCTGCTGCATTGAGACAAGCCACGCTGTGGCAGGCAGCAGTTGTCAGCTGAAACGTCAAAAGTCAAAAGAGTTCCAAGAACTTGGAGCTGTTTGCTTTCAACGGATCACTGACAAGGCTTGAGATTCATTATCAGCGGGCCCACACTCAGGCCAGAATGACCTGGAGTCAAATGCAACGACAAGCCACAGCAAGGTCATCTGAAAGCTTCTGTCCTGCTCCATGCTGTTTGCCCGTCTGCATCGGCCAGCTTCTGCGGGATACCTTACATCTTATCGCCGACCATCTCGGTATGGAATTCATGGTCGCATCTGAGATGCAGGCAGCACGTGAAGAATTGCAGCCTGAGATTGGCTTCACATATGAGGAGAGCAGAATGTCAAGAAGCCTTTTTCGCCAAGCAACGGCTCCGCTTGGGAGTGGAGCACCCACCTGGCGTACTTAGAGGGAGGCGCTACGAGCCTGGGGCAATCCTACAGCAAGCCATGTGGCTGCATGTCAGGAATGACTACACACTTGCATGTCAGTGTTGCCTTGAGGGGTTGTGTGAGCAGCGGACAGGCAAGAAGCTGCCAAAGCACTTTGCATCACTTTGGCAACAACGGGCCCAAGATGAACGCAGATTCAACGAAGGTGTCTACAACCAACCCCCACCATGCTGGACTGTGCGCGGAGACATTGCGCGTATTGTAGTTCACCTGTTGAGCATCTGTCCTGGTCTGCTGTCCATCGAACAAGCCCGACCAATTCGGATGGGCAAGTCATTGGAGATCATTGCAGACTGTAGGTAGCAAAAATCCGATCCGGAAAGCTATCATTGATAGCCCTTCCGGAAGTCCCGCAAGTTCTCAATGTGTCATAGATCTGACGCTCCGGCCGCTACTTGCATGTGCAAGAGCCTGCATCAGTCGGCGGAACACATCAACTACCACCAGCGAATTCTGTTGGATTCTGTTGGGCAAACGTAAGCAGTTTGGACAGTTTCTTCACGTTTCGCCTTGGAGATGCAACAAGACAAACAGCGACAACAATGCATCAGGGCACAGATTGATCGTACTCCATTTCAAAATGCAATGTCACTGTTTTCCGGTATCTTTTGCCATGCAGGGTCACAGAGTGGTCACACCCGAAGGCCCTTCTCAGGCTGTCAGTTTTGAACGCTGACAATTTCCAATGAATGCTGGGATGACAACTGTGGAATTTCTGACCAGGATGCTGAGACCGCGGCACCTGGCAGCACAGCACCCTGTGAAGCGTAGACAAGACAACAACATCCTCATGTGGCCGAGGGCGCTTTCCATTCCAGGCCGAAGGGTCAGGCACAGCCTTCAACTTAATCAACATGTTGCTTGTTGCTTTTGTGCAGCCACATGTTGGGGCTCAGCCGCGTGCGTCAGTCTCGTCTGCCAGATTGCAATAGCCTATGCAAACATGGAATTCAAATCACACGGTGCCTCGCTCAAACAACCTCAGATTTGCGTGTGCTGGCTGGCACTTAAACAGGCCAGCCGGTCATCCATCAGGCCTTGATGCTACGCATGCTGACAGACAACCATCCTCGTATTTTGCATTGCTTTAGGCAGCCGCAGGCCAGTGGCTTTGCCTGCAAGCGATGCTGCAGCCTTGGAGCCTTGCTTCGTGTACCTTGCCGTCTGCTGCACCGTGACAAAGCAAGGAAGAACACAACATTGCTGCAGTTCCCACAACCTAGGCCCACACCAGTTATAGCCACGACTAAAGGCCGCAAATCCAACCTTGCACGTAGTTATGTCATAGTTACCATCGTCAGGGTCAGCACTGCAGAACTCAATACCGTTGCACATTTGGCAAGCCTCATATCAAGGCTGGTCAAAACAGCGCTGCTGCTAAAGAAGAGTCACTCCATTAGAGGGACCGTGTTCTGCATCCTGCTCTAAGTGCTACATACTGAGTTCTTGATGGGCTGAACCTGAGCCTGCATCTGGACGAGTCTCAGAAAATTGAGAAAGTCTTCTGATGGCAGCTCATGCTGGATGCATTTGCTCTGGTCATGTCGCATTGAAAGAACCCGAGTGTGCTGAGCTCGTGACATGACCAAGACTGAAGCCGATATGACCTTCTCCGTCATCCCATGTAGAATGAAGCTCCGCGGAACTCAGTAACAGCTCACGAGATGCATTCCATGTTCGGGTATGGAGGGCCTGTATGTGCTTTTAGGCTGTGGCGCAGGAAGCTACAAGCCCTCATGCAGTGGTTGCGGCAGAGCTTGTACCACGACTAGTGTCTTTGTTCTCCTCCTTCTCCTTTTGTTGCTGCTGCTGTTGTCGCTCTTCTTCCGGTTCAGTTGCGTCGATGCGTGCTGCGAAATCATAAAGGGGCAATGGCAAAAGTGCGCGGGAATGCTCTGTAGCTGTGACTGCTAGACGCTAACTCGGCGTTTGGCATGATAAGCTCATGCCAAGTGAGACCTGGTCTTCATTTTCACTATATGACTTCATTACAAAACTACACTTTCCGCAAAGGCCTTGGGCGCGAGTAGCCGCCTTCCGCTGCTTGCTTCCGCGAAGGTTTTTCCGTTGGATTTGGAGATCTGCTTCCGCGAGAGGGCTTCCAAGACTATGACAAAGGTTCCTGCGCAGGCTCTTTTCGGTTGAGCCCTTTCTCTTGGTTAGAGAAGCAAGTTACAGGATCAGCACGGATTACATGATGTGGGGAGTACACATACGAAAGATTCCCACATACAAAAAGGTTTCCAGCTGAAGGATGATATGTTTTCAGAAACGCGGTAACGTTTACGCAAAGATTTTCATAGGTATCAAGTTGGTATTTGGTAGCTAGACACGCCCACAATATGCGACAATGACAACGATTCATTTCCATAGGATTGAAGTTGCGATTTGGCAGCTACATGTGGCCGCACTAACAGCAACTTATTGGATTTCCCCATGGGAGTGACGAAAGGATTTCGCAAGCAAAGGTATGGGTATGGAGCCAGTGCTTTACAGGATCTGCTGAGTTGTCATGCGCAATTATAAATGCTCGACCGAAAAACATGCTGCTCAAGTGGTCTGCCCTGCAGAAACACCACTGCAGCCCACCATACTGTCTACATCCATTTTAACAAAGAGAAAGCTGCAGACAGCGGCCTCTATGAAGGACGTAAATGTTTAAAGGATCCTGCAATCCATCGGGGCGAACGAGGGCCAAAGGCAAGCCTCAAACCAGTCTAACCTGACTGCCAGAGCTGGAAGCCTGTTTGGAAAAAGTGCCTCCTCATGTATGTATTTCATCTCTCACACGGCCAGTAGTAGAACCTGAGGACAAGACCTGTTCGAAAACTGCCGAAAACGCACTGCACCGGACACACCTGACGGGCTAGGAGAACCGATGACTGAAGCTCTGGCTTCTGCCAGCCTTTCCAGCGGTGTTCGCAAACCCACGGCTTTTCAGTGTCCTGCACAAAGATTAACCCCGAACGTGTCACAACCATGCGTGACTACCCGATTGCATGGCATTACTTGGCAGCCGGTCATTGTCATAGACATCTGTGACTGGTGACGTTGTTGGCATATCGCGGCCTGTTCTTCTCCACAGTCCCAAGTAAGCTCTGAGAGGCGAGAAGATCATTTGCAAAGCCAACACCTGCAACGTGCCTTCTAGACCTTTTTCTAGAATCTAG